ACACACACACACACACACACACACACACACACACACACACACACACATGCATACACAATGTCTACTATACTAAATATGTGTTTAAGTTACAGTCTATTCTTGGAATTATTATAAAGGTTAATGTCAGATACTCTGGGAAAGGTGGGTTAACTCTACTACTCTTTATGGATATTTCAAGTTAGATACAATTATAAACATAACCTTCAGTCTAAATGAACAAATGTCTTGATGCAGCTAGCGTTGGAGCAGAAATTATTTTAAATGCCCCTCTGCCCAGTATTGGCATTGAAAACTAGACACAAAAACCTACTTGACCAAAGACTGAAGCACTTATACATGGGAGGAAAATGATTTTGTCTTTAAAAGCTGTTCATGCTGACAGAGCTTTTTAGAGGACAAGGGCAGAAGGCTTCCTTTGAACAAACATGTCAACCTGAAGGTCAGGGCAATGCTGCCAGTCAAAACAAGTCTATGATTCTAACCTTGAGTTAAAGAAAGGACACTGTGGCCTCGTTAGCAAAGGATCTGTGGCAGGTTGAAATCCCCTTTTGTCACTCTTGTATATTTTTACGTTTTATTGCTTAAAATATATCACCTAGGGACAGCAGGATAGATCAATAGGTATACATGGACTGGCAGCCTGAGTGATCCCTGAATCTCAAAAGATGGCAGGAGAAATCCTGCGAATTCATGTTTATGCATGTATACATGCACTCTCATGTACACACACACAGAGACACACGCACACAAAGAACTACTGATACCACAATGAAGCCCTAAGAAGAACTCACTAGATCTCCATCCTCATCCTTTTCTTCCAGTTATGAAGTAGCCATATGCCTAGTAACAGCTCATACCCTGTCTTTCTACTGCTGAGATGTGAGAAGAGATGTGTGTGGCTTGCAGGCCTGGCTGGTGAGATGTCCCATTTGCTTCCTCTACCTGTGAGTTGGAATGAAGAAGAAAATTCCCAGGGCATGCCTAGAGCTTTGTGCTGAAGATGGCAGCTGTTATGTGCTCCTGCATATTTCCCTTTCTCCTTCCTCCTCCTTCTACCCCTCCCCCTTCCCCTCCTCCTCCCTCTCCCTTTCCCCCTCCCCCTCCCTCTACCCTTCCCTCTCCCTCTCTTTCTGTCTCTCTCCACCTTTCTGTCTGTCTCCTCCTCCTCTCCTCCCTGCCTCTCTCTCCACCCTCTCTCCAGTTCTTTGAGTCATTGAGTTTGGGCTCCATGTTATACCCTAAAAAGGCAGCAAATCTTGTACAATTTAGCACATTGATAACTCAAACTGAGCTATGCTGGGCACCAGTAACACAGCAACAAATGTGATCACTGATCTTGTCCTCACCACTTTCATGGTCTGCTTGACCTAAATGCATTTTGTCACAGTGTTTATAATACCTTTGTTTCTATCATAGGCCCTGAATAGGAAAGTTAAACATTAATTGCCAAGACACAGAATTCAGAAGGCAATGCATTCTTTCTTTATTCAATGGTACACAAACAAAATGAATCTTAGATTTGTATATAAACATGGCAAGTTTGTTGAAAAGTCAGAACTTACTAGCTGTTTTTCAGATGAAAGGAAAGCTGTAGATCAAGTACAAGGGTGGCACCGAGAAGAACCTGCTCTGATTTCTTGTGATAAAACCTTGATTCTTTATCTTTAAAAAAAAATGGTATTGGGTTGTATTTTGGTGTTTTCTCCATCTGTCTCCATCCTTTTGCCCTTGACCCTTGTAGCCTCCTTTGCACTTTGATGTCACATGAGACCTTCACCCGCCCCCACTTTCTGCACACTCCTTGTTCTCCTCTTGTGGTTTCCTGTCTCCCTTCAAAATCTGTACCTACTCCCCTAAGTCCTTACTTATTATACACATATATTAAAAGTTAAGGGTCCACATATGAAAGAAAAGATGCATTTGTGTCTTTCTGAGACTGGATCACTTCATTTCATATAACCTTTCCAGTTCTGTCCATTTTCCTGCAAATTTCATGATTTTGTTTGTGCTAATGGCTGACTAAAATTCCACTGTGTATATACCACATTCATTCTCTATCCATTCTTCTGTGGGTGGACATCTATGCTGGCTTCATTCTCCTATAGCACTGAATAGTGCATCAGTAAACATGAATGTGCAGATGTCTTTGTGGTAGGATATGGAGTGCTTTGGGTATATGCCCAATATTAATATATCTTAATTATATAATAGTTCTATTCTTTGAGAAACTGGTTTCTGTTGTGCACACACTAGTTTACACTGCCCCCAATAGCAGATCTGCATGCCCAGAACACTTCTTTTTCTTTCCTTATGCAGGAAATTGAATCCAGGCCTTGCTTAAACTAGGAAGGTGTTCCAATCTGAACTATACTGCAGCCTGTGAGATAGATTTTGGACCAAATTGATTTATAATCAGACCATTCGTCTCATCATTGCCTATTGTTTACTCGAGGTCATATTGGCTTCATATTCTACAATGGTAATAAATTAAGCTGGGTGTAAGGGCACACATGCTAGCACTCTCCAGATGCAGGCATGTGAATCACCTCCAGGTCATCCTTCTTCACATGAGACTGTCTCAAAAACAACAACAAAGACCAAAAAGAAAACTACAGAATGACCAGCAACTGATAGATTGGAGTGGAGATCACCCCTTCTTTGTATTTCCCAGCCATCCTGATTTTCTGGCAGTCTGAGTTTTGCACATGAGCCATAAATGCCTTTTTGGCTAGTGAGGGTGTTATAGTTGTCTGGTTCCATGACGCCAGGTGTCTTTGTTAAAGGGATGATAGGGCTCAATATACCTTTATGGCAACAATCATCATTTTAACAAACACAAGTGTGTCTCTATCTATACATCCCCTGATTTGTCTCTTTTAAAGAAAGGAGAATATGGTGTTGAACTTTTCTTTCTTTGCCTCCTAGCAACCAACATTTGTTGTGTTACAGAACATGGAAAGTCTCAGTTCCGTGAAATCTCAAGAAACACCGGAACCTGAAGCTGTTGAGCTGGTATCTTCTGAGAGGTAATTGGAGAATGTTCTTCTCACTCTAGTTTTCAAGGGCATGAATGATTTCCTTCACTAAATGCAATGTGAGTTAGAAGAATTAAAAAAAATAGGAGAAAGAGAGGATTGTATGTAGCGAGAAGTATTTATTGCAAGTTAAGTATTTCGGATACAGACTCTATTACTATGGCAAACAGTTATATCCACATGTGGTTTTTTTTACATGCATAAGGGATAACATTTTTTATTATTTGAAATTTTATAAAATCTATTTTGATTATATTCAACCTCTCTCCTCCAACTTCTCCAGATCCACTCCACTTCCTACATATCCAACTTCATATTTAGTCTTTTTAAAAGACAAACAAGCCCAAGTGTGTTGTCTAAATACTCTTAGGTGTGGGAACTACCACAGAGTGTGGATCACATCCTTAAATAAAATTGACTCTTCTCCTACCAGCTATTGAATGCCAAGAGCTCCTCAGCTGGTGTTGGGACTCCTGGCCCAAACCTCTCAAAGCTGGGATTTTATCTGGCTTGAACATGTGCAGATCTTTGGAGTGCAGTCCCAGATGCTATCAACCTACATGTGTTGCTACACCTGGTATATTAGTGAATTTCCTAGCTTCTTTATTACATTTTAACTTTCTGTTCTACCTTATTTTTTAATTTTATAAGAATTTGGTTCAGAGATACTCTGACCACTTTTAAAATAAATAAAATTATAATATGAATGGATAAAAGAGATTATAAAATAGATGGATGATTCTTGTATTTGTTTTTGTTGTTGATAGCAAAGAAAATGAAAGAGGCAGTAGAGACACTCAGCATTATGAGGTGAGTAGCTAACAAAAGCGAGACCAGTGGTTAGACTTTGCCTTTATTCTTGAGTGTGCTTGGGAAATGGTACTAGCCTGTTGATAATAGCCAGTGAGGTAAGTGACAGGATTGTGTTTAGAAACGCAGGCAGATTATTTTACCCCTTGTAAAGATAAATTGTAATAGCATAGTGATATTTCTCTGGGTATCCCTTTAAACAGTGAAGTCACTAGTTTGCAGTTTCAATGACTTGATGCCTCTTTTAAGTATATAAAACATAAGTAGTAAGCTTTAACTCCTCCATGACAAGAATTGCCTCATTCCTTTTCAAATTAACACAAATTCAGATTAAGCTACTCTGTTGAGTTCCTTTTGTTTCAGACTAAGTAAACCACTCATCTCCGCAGTGGCTGTATATCTAAGTTTTAGTCATCTTCCCGACTTTGTGTATGCGTCACCTTGATGGTGCCGCATTGATTCAAGTCCTCATCTTCTCTTGGGCCTGTTTCTGGTTCAGTTTAGTGTCTGAGTTTTAAATTTATGTCTGTATATCACATCTCCTGTTTCTAAATACGTCCTGCTCCAGTGTCAATTGTAATATGCTTCTGGGAAGAATTAATGCTTTTCTCTAAATACTGTTAAATGTAAATACATTAATAATATAGAGAGAAGTGTCTTTGTAGATGAGTATTTCTTAAAATTTTCTGAGTGATGACCCAATTTATTAATGGAATTATTTAATAACGTCTATTAAATTGTCTTACATATGTTCTATTCTTGAGCATTTAATGACGGCCAGAATCACTGCCCCCACAGAGCATTGAGTCTAGCAGATTAGGAATCCATACACTGTACTAGGTAGAAGTGAGTGGCATGGCTGAGTGGTACAGGGTGTGTATAGAATGTAGAAAGCCTTAGATATGATCTCTACCAGTGAAAACACAAGGAATCAGAAAAATTGGGAATTTTCTTCTTAGAAGGGTGTACACTCACAAGAAACAATTGTAAATTAATGAAAACCTTCCCACTAATGCTGTAGCTTTCTTATATTTCTTTTGTTTGATTCTTGTCATGTATATTTCATCAACATAGACAGAGAGCTGTACATGATGTCTTGTGCCTGGAACCCCAGCACCCAGGAGGCTAAGGCACTAAGAATGACAGTCTGGCTACATAGCAAGACTCTGTCACCCCTCAAAAAACCTAGGTAGAGACTGCATCATTTTCCTTTTTGACTTCCAGCTTCTGCCACTGTGATAATTCCTTCATATCTTATTTCCAACTCAAGTGTCCTTCCTTCCACGGGACCAAAGCAATAGGCTAGGATGCTGGGCTGCTGTTGTCTCTTAGGGAGACCTCTTAGGGTGCATGGTTCTTCTGTTCTCTGCCATCTTCCTTGGCTCACAGAAAGCCCTTTGACATTGGACATAAGCTTAAATCTTGCCAGCCTCCTAGAGATGTCTTCTCAGCTTTTCTGAGATAAAGTGTAGCAGAACAGTCTTGTCAATGAACTTCACGAGAGTACATCATAATCCTAAGTGGCACTCAAACTCACAGTAGCCTCCCTATGACTCTAGTTCACAGCACAATCATTAGGGCAGTTCTTAAATTCTTCTCCTGAGTGCCAGATCTGCTTCTTACGCGCGCCATCCATACGTAGCTCCAGTCAGCAACTGGCTCGCTATAAGCATTCACTTTTAAAAAATACCACCACCATCAGTTAGGAGAAGAAATTAGATGGTGAATTAAAATCAAGGACAAACTCTGAATGTCATCCTTTATCATAGCTAGACCAATGAAGGAAAAGATACTACTTCACAGGATTGAGATTACATTTATTTTGAGAGACTATTTTTATTACTATTCATTATAAAATGGATGATTTGTTTTCCATTTTTAACATACTCTCCCTTGTTTCAGTATAATTTTGTTTTTTCAAATATCAATTGGCTGCTTTAAACATACCTCATGCCAACACTGTTTAGAAAATGATCATGACCCTGTACCTTCATTGCATGTCTTTAATTAGTTTTTTTTATTTAAAAAAAAAAAGGATCTCTAAGAGTCTCAAGGAGGTACCATTCATCAAAAGTTTAACATTCCTTTCTTCTGAGGTTTGAATTAAAATTTATTTAATGACATACAATGAAAAAGGTTCAAAGTCACTTCAAAATGTCACAAAGAAAAGTAACATTCCTTGTGATGGGCATTGGAGAGGTTGGCACTTTAATAAAGTATCTTCCCTGGGCTGTGTGATCAAAGGTAACTTGAGAAAGAGGTAGCATATGTTTCATGACACATGGAACCTAGAGTGTCCTTTCTTTCTGAAACTCATTTAAAATCCCAGGTCACCAGAATAGAAAGCATCCTTACCACTCATGTGCCCCCTTCTAAAATACATGATTGAAAATACGTTTTCAGAGTTGTGCTTACTATGGGGGTGTCTTACACTTCAGATCCTTCTGTAAGCTAAGCATTTTTCTTTAAAGGTTTACTTCTATTGTTTCAATTATACATATGCATGTGAGTCTAGATGCCCAACGGAGGCCACAGATATCAGACCTCCCTACAGATGTAATTACAGGCTGTTGTGCACTGACTGATGTGAGTGCTGGAAACTGAACTTGGGTCTTCTGTAAGAGTAGTAAGCACTCTAAATCACTGAGCCATCTCTACAACCCCAAGCCAAAGAATTTTATATTGTGAAAATATGTTGTACCTTATATAAAGTCTAGACTGTTCAAACAGTAAACTCATGAATCTTTTTGCCATGAAAATGAAACAAGCAAGAATTATTAGCTGTATGGAAGGGCATTGAATTACCAGAGAGAAATGATTTTATTTCAGAATTCTAAGCCAGGAAAGTGTTAAATTCTTTCAAGATATTTTTATGTTCTTTATGCCTTCTAAGCCCACCAATTAAGTGTGATTAGAAGCATGCCTTTGATAACAAACAGGATATTCATCATAAAAGCCTATTTGCCTTTTTTCTCATCCTGCTTCAAAAAAAGTAATTAAACAAAAGAAGGAAAAGGAAGTGAGGAGAAGGGGAGATGTTAAGGCTTGCCATGCAAGACTGAGAGTTGCTTGTCCCACAATCTGAAGTCCAAGCTCTCGATGACCCTGAGAACTAGGACTGACCTACTCACCACACACTGCTGCAGCTTGTGCACACTTGAACCTTGGGACTGTGTTGTGTCTACTCTCCTTTATTATTAGGCCAAACAGTAAATGTTGGTGCTTTCCTGTGTCTTCAGTTAATACTGGTTTTTCCTGGGAAAGCTGCACTGTCCAGCAGCCTCAAGTATTGTCATGCCTCATTCTTACTGTCATCCTCAGCCACTTACCTAAATTCTGTATAGGGAATGGCTTGTGAACTCATCTAACACCCAAAGCTGGGGACAGAAGAGAGCAAAGCAAGCTCGGCTGGACAGGTTCGAGTCTTGACAATGATGAGGCTAAGAGACTGAAGTGAATGGTGTGAACCTACATGCAGAATGCCACCTGAGGGAGGCCCAGGTGGGGAAAGGTGCCTCCAGCACTCAGACCTCCAAAGTTTCTCTTCCACCCAGAATTCTATACCTTATGCATTTGTGAAGTCTATTGCCCAGGACATAATGCATGTTCAATAAACCTTTGCCTAAGGAAGTGGGAAGGGAGTAGAGGCAGGAACAGAAATCTATGTACTCTTGCTGTGGGCAGTCTGTTGTATATGTTTTTGATTTGTATCTCACAACAACCTTAAGATGTCACAATACAGTATTAGAAAAGGGAAAGCTAAGGCTCAAGGAGGCTGATTCACAGGCCTTGACAAAGCAAAGCTGCTATTATACTCAGGGCTCTACCTCCAAAACCCACCCTTACCTGCCTATTATACATGAACCAGGCATTATTCCACTAAGCAAAGATTCTTTGTGTTATCCTATGAAGCAGCATTTTGACGGAGGTCCATTGTGCTCCACATCATAGCATGAAAGATTTCTGAAGTGAAAATTGTGCAATTAATTTACTTTTTGATTGAACTGAAGATAGTAGACATATGTGTAAACAACAAAGTTTAAACCAAAAATATTTCTGTATGTGAGGGTGCTCTTGACAAGTTAACCTGAACTCTTTCTTCTACATCCTTTCCACCCACTCCTGCTGCCTGAGTCAACTGCTCCTGCTGATTAATGGCATGCACACTCTTGGCTGTTTGCTCAATTTTTTCCATGATACATAAATGTCTTCCATGTTTCGATATAGCGTGTTTTACCTTAAATCCAGTCATACGTGCTGTGGCTCCTAGTCCCCTCACTAACAGTTTGGGGGCCTGGCATATTACTCATTGGTCTTTACATGGTACCATATAGCAATGGAAGGAATGGTGGCTTCTGCTTGGCTGTCTCTTTTTTGTACTGTAGGCCTGCAGGCTTTGATTATCATGTCTTAGATCTTCACAAGAACTTTATACGATTATTGAGAAGTACTTATTTACCTTAAGCATGTCCATCTCTCTATCTTACACATTTATAGTCATACAAGCCCATACATTCACACAAAAATTTGACTGATAGTCCCTAAAACATCTAAAATCTGAGTACCAGGTTGAAGCTTTAATCCTTGGTCCACTTAGGCTAATATGACTGTTTCCCAATAGACAGATAAGACACTCAGAATATTGTAGAGCAGTAGTTGGGGTCACATATCAGATATTTATATTATGATTCATAACAGTAGCAAAATTACAGATATGAAGTAGCAACAAAATAGTGTTATGGTTGAGGGTCACCACAACATGAGGAACTGTATTAAAGGGTCACAGCATCAGGAAGGTTGAGAAGTACTGCCATAGAGTATAAAGTCTTGGTGTTTCCTGTAATGCTACTGCTCACCACGACCAGATTGAAGTTTTGTTTTGTTCCCAATGTTAAGAAATGTCAGTCTTCATGCTTCACTCAAGAGAAACAGAATAGCACAAAAGCACCAAGAATTCCTCTGGTGATCACAAAGTGGGTGAGACAGCTCCTAAAAGAAGCTGGGAGGCTTAAATAGCATTTTAAGTATAACAACATCTCCTACATTAATAAATTCACTTATGGTTTCCAGATGTTCTTGGGTTTTATTTTTCAATTAATAATAGGATAACTAAAGATAAATGTTCATTTACCCCCAAAGAAAATATTTTGTATAGATATGTGCTACTTGAAAAGTACATTTTCAAGTAAAAATATTTAAACACAGTTGTTTATGATTTCATGAAAGCTGGAAGAGATATGACAGGCTTAACTTACAATATGCCAAGAGAACAACTTAAGAAGACAATTTTGTTGCAAAAGAATTCATTTAATTGCCATTTTAAACACACACACACACACACACACACACACACACACACACACACACACAAGCACTTAGCTTAAATATCTGTGTTTTAAGGAAGATTTTTCCCTTCCAACATTTCCTAGCCAGGCATGGGTACTACCAATGGCAGAGCTGAATGCAGCTTTATTATTCAAGGTAACTGAATAAATAGAAAAACAATGACAACTGCATATTTTTAGGATAAAATTACATATCACCAACTTGCCAGCTCTTACTTTTACTGGGAGGGAAGATCGTTCTCCCTGTATTCTTGGCTTGTTTTCAGGGTCTGTTTCTCACTCCTAGCTGAGATGAAACACCAAACCCCAGCCATTTGAATTTGCGCAACAATGTTTTAATACCCAGAGTGCCTCCATAAATAGTCTGTTCTCCTCACACTCTAGAGAAAACAGCCCCATTTAATTGATCTAAGCCTGAAGGCTCATAGGAGTGTGGTAGCCCCAGCTTCTCCCCTGCCCTTGCCAGAATGTTTACCTAAGCAGCGAAGACACTGCTTGCCAGACACACCATGTTGCTGCCACAGCCTTAGCAACCGTGGCCAGCTTTTTGTTGTTGTTTACCATTTGATGGGCCATGCTCCTTTAAGAAACATAAACTCCTTCTCCTTCCTGGGCTTAGTCAGTAATCACTCAAGACCTGTCAGCTGCCTGGAGTTATCTGGAGGAGCAGCCTAAGGAAATCATCTTGCCTCTCTCCTCCAAGAAGAAAAGTTAAAGGCTGACAGATGGACAGTGGCTATTTGCGTGAGAGTAGCCAGATAGTGCCCAGGGGGCATCAAGCCCTGGTTTTTATTCTGCAGTGGAAATGTTAGCTGCTGTGGCTTGAGAGGTTGCATTCAGAAGGCGTGGAATCAATGCAGATCTTGTTTTATCTTGGTGAACAGTAGCTATTAGGGGACACTGTGCTGTTATTGCAGAGCCCCACAATGAAGATTCAAGAGAATCCCAGTATAACTGACCCCAAACAACAGAGGAGTCGTGAAGCTGAGGATCAGCAGGAGAGCTTTGTCCCAGATGTGCCCCAGTTGGACCTGACAGTGCTGTGCGAGCAGAAGACCTGGGAAGGTAGGTGATCATCTGCCATTTGGGTTTTGCATTGAAAAAGCATATATGGGTAAATATATACAAGGCATGTGACCGCACGCCTGTGTGGATCAGAGTAAGAGCCATATACAGAAGAAACTGGGTTTCTATTTAAAAAGGAAAGAGAGAGAGAGGGAGGGAGGGAGGGAGGGAGGGAGGAAGAAAGGAAGGTAGGAAGAAAAAAAGCAAAAAAACGAGAAAAAGAAAGATAGAAAGAAAGAAAGAAAGAAGAAAACAC